TGTCACTCAGTGTCACACTAAATCGGCCACACTCCTATCCGACTGCTAATGGGACCTCGCCCCAGATGTATGTGGGAGGGACCGATAGCAAATAAGTACTGCGAGGGAATGGTGAAAAGAACTTTGAAAAGAAAAAGAACTGTTAAAAACAAAAAGAACTTGAAAAAAAAAAAAATGGTGTTTAGTTCATTTTCTTTATCTTTTTGTCCCCCCTCCTTCTGCAGAGGTTTGGGAAGGCAGTGCCTGGTAGTTCGAGCCTCGACACGACTTGGCATACCGGTCGTCCAAGGCTCGGACTCGATAGCTGGGCCAAGTACCGGTGGTTTAAAGGCCATACAGTCCGAATTTGACAGGTAATTTAATTGGTTGGGATGAAAAGAATCAGCCTTTTGAAAAAAAAAAAAACGTATCGAGCCCCAACACCCCAACATAAGACTTGTGCATATTTTGCGTTGGCCCCGGAATTGGGCCTCACTTCACTTCTTACCGCATAGACAGAAAATATGGCGGTTTATCTTTCCAAGTTATAGTTGAAGAGTCATTCTCATTTTCATACAGTGTATAAAAAACAAAATATAGCGGTGTACCTGAAGATTCATTCTCATTTCCATCAGATGGTGCCTAATACAGCCAGACCCATAGTCAACTTTCACTATGTACTTGTGTTTGAACATTCCAGACTACTACCCTGGTCGAAACGATGTCAGCCCGAGCCTGTGGCATTGAAGTTCCCTATCTTCTGCACCTGTTGCCGACAAACCATTTTTGGTCACCCTCGAGTGAGCACCGTCGACTGTTTTTTGGGCTACTACGCTGGTCAGTTCCTGTGGTACCGCATGTTCTTGAGTGGATGTTGTGTGGGCTGCACGTGAGACCCGCTAAATTTCTTAGGAGTATAGAGAACAGACAGAGAGAAAATATAGATATAGAAGAAAATTTCACAAAAAAAAAAAATTATTATGAAAAAAGGTTAATTGTTTTAAGCCTGACTAAATCAATTGCATGTTGAATCGGGATAGGACGGTGTTCCAGGCCGTTTTTACGAGGGCCTTTACACAACCGGAGTGTAAAAAAAAAAAAAAAAACGGAGCGCCCCAAACCTCATTCTCGTAGATGGCACCGCTAACCATTTTGCCGCAGTAGCTCGACCACCCAAAGTTGCACTTACACGCACGACTCGTCAAAGATAAATAGTCGGAAAACGTACCACAAGTTCAACCACCATTACCTTTCCCCGTTTGAAAAATAGAGTCATGGCTTGTTAATAGTCACATCTTTCAAAAAGTAGCGGAATATCGTTGCGCTGGATACCCATCCAGGTAAATAAACCTCACATGAGGTTCATTTTGCCACGATGGATATTTAGCGAAATGCCCCCCGGTACTTTCTGAGAGTTGCGACCTTAAACCCATCACGACTCTAAAAAAAAGTGTTGGGAAAGATATTGCACCCTTATTCTATACATTGTGAATTTTACCGTGCAGGAGTTAGGGATCTCCCCACGCACACATGTGGTTAACCAAGCGAAAACGATGAATATTTAGCCCCCCGTTAACGATCTTTCGGTCTACATTTCAGCAGATTACGGGTATAGGACCGTATAGCAACTAAACTAGGCTTGTTGGTCGGATAAATATCTCAAGGTCATTGCACTTTTTTATTCGATAAAAAAAGTATTAACTACAGGCCAACATGTCTCCACAAGTTGTCGTGCGCGTATCAAAATTTAAAACTTGTTGACAAATATTGGAAAATGTTTGGCAAACAAAAAAACTTACTAAGAAAAAAGGGAAAAAAAATTGAAAGCTTGAAAAAAACAATAACAAGGTTATATATATTTATATATATATGTGTTTTGCTGTTTTATGATGGGGTGTGAACCGACATTTTGTAGAGTTTCTCATTTGGTGTGGGTGAGTGATAGTCAGCTTTGATTTTTCATCACAGGTACCTTGAGGGAAGTGGTCGATGCCAAACTCAGGGTATCAGTTGTCCGGAAGTCGTTGATGATTAACCACAATCGGGATTAAGATGGATTACCACTTACAATGTTATCAGTTAGGGAATTTTGCATGTTGGTGAGGGTTCAACCTCCTGATGAGTCAGTGAAACTCTGACGAAACAGTTTATTACATCCCCTTCTTTACGATCCTCTTCCCTCTTTCTGTCTATGATTTACTGGGCAGTTTTGTTTAACGATATGTATGTATATAGGTTTCAACCTCCTAATGATTCGGTGAAACTTCAACGAAACAGTTTGTCAAAGCCCCTTGTTTGTTATCCTCTCTTCTCTCTCCGTCGATGGTTTATCTGGCCTACACATGCACACTCACACACACATACACTCATAAGGTTAGAGTCCGTCAGTCGATGCTCTCACAAACACACTTTTTTTTTTTTTTTCCTCTCTCTCTCTCTCTCTCTCTCTCTCTCTCTCACACACACACACACACACACACACACACACACACACAGATAAGGTTAGACACCACTATTTGAAGCGATGGTTGGCCTCAGATAAAACATTAGCCGGAAGGTC